CATCACTTATATAATTAGTCGTGCATGTGGTGAATGTAAAGCCTTATGCGGTTATCGAAGTTTAGTTTTAATCAACAAGCTATTAACAAGTACTTGTTGTTGGTCCTTTTACACCTTAATAAATCAACATGTTGTTATTTTCATATGTGTTATTTTTAAACGTAGAGTTGTAATTTTTATTTTTGAAACCCCTGGAAAGCAATCACCTTTGTAAATTTGCGACTGCATGCCCAATTAAGCGATGAATCGAACAAGCTGGCGAATGCCATATTTTCTCTAGTTGGCTACTCGACATCGAATATGTATTTTTAACGCTATGGCCTGAATTCATCGAGAAATTAAAAGCACTGGGACCAAAGTATCTATTAAGTCTTTCTCTATTCTCTTTATTCTTGATAGACTATAGTCACTTCCTCCATAGGACTGCCTCGCCTTTGGTGTTCAATTCGCATATGCTTGGATGCATCCAAGCTACGAAATAGCAGCATGTAGTAGTACGAAAAGCCTTAATGTTCAAAAAATAATTATGTTTCCGGATTGCCTTGACAGAACAGATGCCGAAATCACGTTTGTAAGTACACCATATCGGGTGTTCATCGCGGCATCTTAGTGCAGCATTAAGCCATTTACGGGCTTGACGTCACCGCATACTCTAGCTGGTATCTGCGCATTTTGGAAAACATCTTCCTTCTTCCCGCCTGATTAGTTTGCATTTTTACAAGATAATTTTTCAAATTGTACATGTATTGTAACCATATGTATTGTCTACAGGGTGAGTAAAAAAACTGATCCCTATTCATTTGGAAATTTGCCGAATAGCTGCTGTAATTTAACAGAAGTTGACTAAAGTGAATAATGAATTAATCAAAAACATAAATCTTGTCGGCGTCTTTGATTAAAAATGCGAGAGATAAGAAAACTGTAGTTAACTGCCTGTTGGGCACAAGGTAGTTGTCTAATTAGATATGGTCAGTTATAGTTGCATATAGTCTTTTTTACTTACCCTGCAGTATGTATGTCAAGAATGTACATACAAAAAATAGTGCAAGAGTCAACATTTTCTTATCAATTTGACTCTGGGGCCTTCAATGTATCCTAGTTCCGAAACCTGCATGTTCGAGCAATGCATGCATGCCGGCACAATTTTTCTTTGGAATATTGCATGCTGAGTATCCGAAATCATACCTTTCATCGTCACTACTGAGAATACGTTGTAAAAAGAGAATAGTGTGTATTTGCACCCAACGAGCATATTTGCACCGAACGAACATAGCAACTTGGGCGTCAATTTATACAAAAACAGCATATAAAAAATGACGCAATCATACTGTGACGCCTTCTTATTTATTGCCTATATGCGTTTGGCACACGGTAAGCGCATATGTGATGCAGACCTTACTATACTCATGCAACCGAATCTGCTTCCAACGACAACTGCAGGACTGCATCATCAAATCAGATTCTCAGGGGCATAGAGCATCATGTATGATCATCCCATATACAGGGTATGACTACAAATTATTATTAACATGCAAATTGCAGTGAAATTATATTTGACCAAATCTGACAATCCGTCGTGTTCAACATGACGCAGTTGACTACAGATTTAACTTCCAAAGCCGGAAACAAGAATTACGCTTTAATTCAAATAATCTTCCCTTTAGACATTAGCGCCAAAATTGCAGCAGCTATGCGCTGATTTGCATATCAACAGGTAGCAGTTTTTTTACTCACCCTATACACCAATGTCAATTTTGCCACGGATTTGTGAGGTCAATACACAATAGAAAGTGCGCACCCATGAAAAACGGATACTAAAATTGACCGTTGATAATCCTTTTTGATTATCTGATTATTATTGGAAATGTACCAAATAGCGTTACATTCATTGCTGCTGTTTGCGATAAAATTTAAAAAAGCTCCGCAAAGCAAGATTTTGACACTAATCCTTTTTAGTGGCCCGAACAATGCGAGTTCAAAATACATTATCTATGGTACTATGCGTAATTTCATTACAGATTCTTTGCACTAAATCTGGATTGCCTATGACTATTATTTTTATAAAATTCATAGAATTAATGATGCTGAAACAACAATAAAGAACGTTTAATACTTCATGGGACGTTTAAAAGAGAACGAAAATGAAATTCAATACAACCATCAGTTGTTATAACCCAGCATATTTTTTGTGATTTTTGATACTCTAAATGAATCCAACAATTACTAATCCAACTGCAACAATTCAACTGCATTCATGTGACGTTATAAAGGTCCTTCTTTCAGAAGCATTCTTTGAAACTTAACCGTAATATCTGTTTGCAAAGAAATATTATTGTAGAAATTTCGTAATTTAAGCAGACATGCAGACATGGACTTTCTATCTATGACTATCCAGTTGTTATTTCTTCCGGTAAATTATGTTGCCAAATTGATTCAAGCCAAGAAAAATCCACTTCATGAGATTGCATTCTGTAAATGGCTTTTCCGGCTGGCCTTTTACATTAAAAAATATGCACGACGCAAACCTGCACCATGTATAACTACATGCAACAAATGGATTCATGCCAGATGTACACCTTAGTCGAGTATATGCAGTGGTACGACTTTTGCATAAATTGAAGGTCAATGGATTAGACTGTGCATGGACATGTAATGTAAACTTGTAATATAGTGTTTACGCCTACGCGAACTGAACGCCTATGTGCTTCACCATAGGTTTAAACCACATTATTACAATTATAAATATTTTTTAGCTTCTACTAATGCAGGCAATGTCTTTTTAGTTATAATTCAGTTAACACTTTCAGAAGGCTCTTGGTATACAAGGTCATGTTTTTTGGGAATGGCTCTTGGCATAACTTGCGTCCAAGATAGAGTACTTGTCTATTAACTATTGCATGATAAGCCCTAAATAACGGCCACTTCAAATTTGTCATCCAAGTTTGTTATCAGAGGTATTTTGTTATTCATTTTTTATCTGTCAAAAGCATTTAATCTACCTCGATATCACAAACCCTATTTTTATTGGCGTTTATATTATTTCTAAAATTAAAGCGACATAAATGTATTTGTGAAAATGGGGAGAGGTAACCATCAAACCCTTCACCAGGCATGAGAAAAAATGCCCTTTCAAGTATTTTTTGTTCGATTTGATGTTTCTTCAATAGGGATTACATTTGCCGGTAGGTGATTAACGTCAGAAAAAGGATTTAAACCCACGTTCGTATGTTCCCCTTGAGCCTGAAGAAAGTGATTTATTCGTTCATACACGTAGAATGTAGCTAGGCAGGCGATATGTCGGCATATTATGCTTTATCCTTAAAAAATATAAATAGCAATTATTTCATTAAGTCTAGCTCTTATACATCGTGCGCGAAAACCTCTCAACGAGATCAAAGTTCATGGAAATTCAATACGTGAAAAAGAGAAATTCACAAGTACAAAATGACTCGTTCACATGCCAAATTCTAACTTCATATACTATTTGATATTCATGAAATTCCTATTTCACATGCGAAAGTATCGCTGTGAAGGATACCAAACTTAAGGTGGATTTCCACTTGCATGCAGAGAAATGGTTCGCCAGCGAAATATTTGCATATTTTCTTTGAATATATTAACAGCGTAATTAACATAGACTGTTCAACATAAACTGTTCCTAATTCAAAAGAAAATACCAAATATTTCGCTGGCGAACTATTTCTCCGCAAGAGGAAATCCAGCCTGATTTTTTCGCTACACTCACCAAATGAAAGAATTCTTTCTTGATTAATGAAATCCAAAAACCGCTATATACAGGCAACTTTGTGAAAAAATATGCCTAATATTCTTCGATGCATTCAGTGTTGTTTACGACAAGTGGCTAGTAGTTTAGTATAAATGTATTCTCTAGAAACTAGAATGTATTAATCATATTTAATTCTATTTTTTGTGTTCTTGATATAGAGTAGTTCCAATTGGACTTTTTTTCACTATAATGCGTCACGGCTACGTATTGATTTGGATAAAAATCTGCACCAACCTTATCAAAGTATAATGCGTACTAATACAGTGCACGCAACCAATTTTTAGCTATTTTCGCTGTAAGACATTGGATGAAGCTATTTTCGCTTTTTAGAACGTTGGATGAAGCCGAATTGAAACTGTGTTGGGAATTGCCGTTAGAGGCTATGTTTAAGCCAACACACTCACGTTAGTTTTTTCTTTTTATTCGCTTCACCGATAAATCACCCTCTCACAATCACGACTACACAATTCTCCTTCTCGATTCTCATGCAACACCCTACATATTTGCCTTCTCTGATAACCTATGACGTATAAATTGATTGACACATATTTGGCTAACTAAATTATATCTCTAATTAATGATTTCCCCATAGTTCTGAACATTTGATTGGAAAATAATTGCTCATTAAGGAGGGAGCCGTGCACTAAAAAAATTACAAGCTTAGTCACAAAAGAACTAGGCCTAGGGAGAGGGTAAAATAAATAAATATAATAAAAAATAGAATTAAAGTTATAATAGGTGCTACATACATATAGCTGTAAGATAAAAATGTTTCTAGCTGTATCATATTTCCTTTTATTGAAATAGGGTTGCCGAGAAACAGAAATTAAAATCTTCGCTTTTAACTTAATTTGTTTTACTATAATTACAAAGGTGATTATGGAAAATTCGAGCGACGTCGGATTATTACGGGATAATTATTATACACTTGATGTATGCTCCCGAGGGAAATAGTGAGTTTTGTTTTCCCAAGAGTCTGAATGTTTCACGAGACGAAGTCGAGGGAAACATTGAGACTCGAGGGAAAACAAAACTCACTATTTCCCGAGGTGTAGCGAACATTAAGTGTTTTGTTATATATAGAAACAAAAACATACATGTTACACGACAATTTCATTTCAAAAAACTTTGTTATGACAGTATGCGGGCAACAATTTTTCACTTGTTTCCCTGGAGGGAAATATTGCATTTATTTAAAGTCATGTGACTACGAATGAACCAATCACATTTAAAATACACAGCACCTATATAGTAATACGGACTATTACGCTTAATTAAGCGGATTTTTCAAAATGGCAGCGAGTTTTTGTTGTCGAAGTGAAGCAAAAAAGTTGTTAAAAAATTAGGCCTAAAATTATGTTCAAGGCGAAAAAACTACTTTGTAGAACGATTTTCAACTTAATTTTGCTCGAGATGTTTGTTTACGTTTGTAAAACATGTATTCTTTAAAACAGATTCATTTCGTCAAAAAAATCACCTTTGTAATTATAATATAACAATTCGTCGAGGTTTTTATTCAGCTATATTCACCGAGCCTGAGGTGAATAATTCTTGAACAAGTTGTGGAAGCGAGGACCTAAAAAGTTCGGCTACAAAATAAACAAAACTAAAAACCGCATGAAAATATACAAAACAAAAATAAGTTTGCTAACTGACTATCTTTTGAATTTTGAAAGAAAAACATTTTTCAAGCTTACAATTTAGTTTCATGTTTACTAAAGAATAGAGTTCGATAATGTCAAATTTTGAAATATGAAACGAATGGAATTATAATACAGAATTAATTTGTTGAAAATAAAATTGATTTGATTATTGTTGATTATCCTCCCTTTCGCTTTGCTCTGCCGTTAGCTGCTGTTGCCACATATTTGCATATACTCCTTGTCGATCCAAAAGCTCTTGATGTCTACGACAATTAAATTAGTCGAAATGTGATTAATTGCGTTGAACTAATTTATACGAACTTTATTTAAGAGTTAAAAAAGTTAAAAGCTTCTCAAGTATTCTTCCAACATTCCCCCGAGTGCATTTTTAAGACCATAAAGGCACACAATGAGCTTTTTTAATTCTTACATCTAACATAAGAAAAAATTATTACATCAAAAATGCAATTCTCGTTATGTTATTTAAGATGTTGCTAAGCAACAAAAAGAGCTCAGTTTTATCGGCGCGACAACAACCTAGTCAACTTTAGCGAATTCTAGCCCAAAATAATTTCAAAAAAAAAGATTTTCTAAGATAAATTTTTTAGCAGTTACAAAATAACTTAAAAATACACATTAAAATTGTCAAAGAACTATGCAACAATTAGTTTACTTTTCAACCAAACAATAGACGACTTGCGCTTTAGACTAATTTCTTTAGACTGCGATAAAAAACGAAATGTTTTGAAAGAGCTTATTAAAATAAGTAAAACTGTCAAGTTACGCTGCGAATTGTTGTGAATTACGGAAAATATAGCCATGCGAAGTTGACTAATTTTGTATACTTTTGTATCACGGCCGGAAGTGTGTAACTCAATTAACTTTGCTCATCCACTTCATTCGATTGCCGAGGCTACTTGGCTAAAATGTAGCTAAATTATTCATTAAATGAGATGGAAAATCGTTACAGTTGATCGTGAATATCCTCGGCTAAATATATACGGCGTTACTCAATAGACCTTTTCGGTAATTACGTCACAAAAATATCGTTTTAAATTCAGAACCACCTTAAATGAGATGGATTTCAATTTTTACTCTCACGAGCTATGTGCAAAGATACACAACATCCTTCAGGCTATACAACCCGTGCATGAAAAAGAATTTTAATAAGTATGGGAATAAGCCATCACGCGGGAACGGCTCGCGGTCTTGGCCCCTCAGCCTCGTTCTCGCGTTATGGCTTATTTACATATTTATTAATCAAAATAATTTTTTTTCATGCATGTGTTGAAGAACAATGTTTTGTATCTTTGCACGTAGCTCGTTAGAGTAAAACTTGAAATCCATTTCATTTAAGGTAGTTTTAAATTTAAAACGTAGTGATGTTAAAATGTTATCGTAATTAACGAAAAGATCTATTGTATGTTACATATTGTTAATAATTAACTTTTGCGTTGAACTAAATATACGAACTTTATTTTAAGAGCTAAAAAAGTTAAAAGCTTCTCTAGTTTTTTGTGTCGGTCAAAGTTTTCCGCCTCAAAGTTATTGGATAAATTCATTTTGAATTTTATAAGACACGGTTATGCATTCTTGTAACACTTCAAAAAAATCATAGTGTATATACACTTCTAAAAGATAACCAGCTCCCATTACTATCATATTCATGTTGATAACAAAATGAAAAAATATTATTTCTTACCGCCCTCTTTCCACAATCTCACCATCCTTAAGAACTAGAATCTGGTCAGCATTTACAATCGTGGAAAGCCTATCGAAATGAAAGAGAACGAAGAAGATTTATCTAACAAAACTGTAGATCAGAATAGTTTCTATATACCTATTTATCTATAAATTTATAAAACAATCCGACTTGAAATAAAAAATTAGGAAATCCGACATCATACAAGAGTGTAAATATCCTTTTATATGCAGCTTGAAAACGGTTTTACAACGTTTAATGAGATCTAGTAATTTGTCCATAACGTCGCTCTTAAAGATTCAGGAAGACTGTATAATCTATTTTACACGATATAAAAAGAGTATCAATGTTGTAGCCCAGTCAATTAAAATCGTGTTCCATGAAAATAAAGAGTAGCTTGGAGATACTAGATAGTCATGAATATTCAGTTGTTCAAGTCTTGTATTTTTTTGTTATTTTTCTGTGTTAACGATTACTACACTGTACCTGTGCGCAACAACTATTGTCGTCCTGTTTGAGGTCATACTGCTTAAAGACGCTTGTATGTTCCTTTCAGTTTGGGTGTCTAGTGCAGATGTGGCCTGTAAGATTTTAAAAAAATGAGGTATAAATTTCGTATCTCGGCGTTAATGTTGAGCTCAACGTTAATACCGTAAAAGCTAGAATATTGAAAATAAAAATAAACTTTACCTCGTCGAGAAGAACTAATGGCGGGTTCTTCAGTATAGTTCTTGCGATAGCAACACGTTGCTTTTCTCCTCCACTTATTTTGAGACCTCGCTCACCAACCAACGTCTCATATTCTACAAAACGGAGATAATTGAGAATTGGACTGAATCACCAAGTGATAAAAAATAATAAGACTCACGGATTATTATACACTTAATGTATGCTCCCGAGGGAAATAGTGAGTTTTGTTTTCCCAAGAGTCTGAATGTTTTCCTAGACGAAGTCGAGGGAAACATTGAGACTCGAGGGAAAACAAAACTCACTATTTCCCGAGGTAGTGTACATTAAGTGTTTTGTTATATAGGAACAAAAACATACATGTTACACAACAATTCATTAAAAAAAACACTTTACTTCGTTATGACAAGAAGCGGGCAACAATTTTTCACTTGTTTCCCAGGCGGGAAACATTGTATTTAGCTATTTAGTTTCGCAAGAAGGCCTGCATGTATCTAGTTTCTCATGCAATTGCGTGTAAAAATCATGTGTGCAAAAAGTTTGCATGCTATAATAATACTAAGAAAAAACGAAAAATATGCTAGGGAGTTTAAGCTTGTTGTTTCAAAGGAGCGGGAAAATTTTTGCTTAACCATCATCTAATAATTCTTTAATATCTCAAAGACCATGATACAGGGGACTTTTAAATATCAATATTAAAAAGAAAATCATTTTCTTTTCGTTGTATTAGGGAGTGACATGCACTTCGCTACGCATATTAAACTCACGTTGCGTGAAGGAAAGAATGCGCACATGGATATCAGCAGCATTCGCGGCATCTTCCACCTCCTGGTCGGAGGCCTCCACTCTACCATATCGGATGTTATATCTACATTGTAACAAGAAATTCCATATTCATCTATAATGCCCCCAATATTCCTCGTTCTCCAGGATGTGTGGTTCCACTGTAACCACTTTTACTTAGGGGCTGTTTACATGTTCCTGCTTAAGCGAGACTAAACAAAACTTGAAATGCCTTAATTTGAGGTATTAAAATGAGTATATAACTTTTATAATCCTGATAGTTGTGTAGTCATTCCTATAGTAGCATGTCCTTGTTTATTTTAATACTTAAAATCATCTTACGTTTTCGTTGAAAACTAGGAAACCGGGCTCATGTAAGACTCTAGCTCTTAACAATAATCAAAGGCAGCGCGCTAAATTTTTTGGTGGCGAAATACAGTTTAATCGCGTTTATATCGAAAACGAGTTTGGTGACTCCCAATTTCAAAGTATTTATTCATATATAATTATTCATTTATATTCCAAAAGAGATTTCGTAGATGGTATAGCTGTTCAAGGGCCTTGAAATACTTCCTGAGATATATTATAGAAGCTGCATGTAGTTAGAGATTTTGAAATGAGAGTTAAATGCATGATTGGCGTAATATTATACATGCATCTGATGGTCAAATAACCGAAAATCGTCAACGTGGTAATTGTGATATCCATGCAGTATAGGAACCTTGCGATTCATAAGCTTTTAAGCAGGTACTGTAATAAAGAACGTTAAAATTACCGGATATTGTCATTGAATAGCACAGTATCTTGTGGGACAACTCCAATGTGCTTACGCAAAGACTTCTGAGAAACCTTAAACATACATGAAGTTTGAATAAAAAAATGAATTGAAATCAGGTGATAGCACAAATACTTTATACATCCAACAATCTATGTTAATATGTTTATCAACTGCCAAAGGCGTTTTCATATACTTTATCTACTGTTTCATACGAGAATTTTGATATATAGTTGTTTACACATATTTACCTTACTGATGTCTTGATCGTCGATGCTAATTAGCCCTGAGTCAATATCGTAAAATCGAAACAGTAAACGAATAACGGTGCTCTTGCCACTTCCTGAAGGACCGACCTTAAACGTAAGTTGATATGAATTGTCACATGTATTTGACTAAAAATAAAATGAGCATAAAAATGATAGAGAAAAGAATCTGGGAGAAAAAAGCTGAAAAATATTTTGTACATCCATTAATTTACTTTCACAATTTTTAAAAGCTACAAAACCATTAAAACAGGAATATACTGAGGGTATACCTTCCTTATTATATATACGAGTTGTCTACCTCAACCTTACGAATAAAGAAAAAAGATTATCATACCAATGCCAGCGTTTCACCAGGTTTAACAAGAAAAGATATTCCTTTTAAGATTTCTTTTCTAAATTCAAAACAAGCATGACAAAGAGGCATAAAGCAATGGTCGATGGATGTTATAAAGTACATTAATGATGCAAGAGTAGAGGATTTTACGAGTACATCATTTTTGTTTTATATGGTGTAATGCAATTCAAACAACAGGTAATGAAGCGATAAACGTCCTCAAGCTTGGTTATCACATCATAGAATAAGATTTTCATTGCATGTACATACCCATCTTCGTATGAAAAATGAACATCGTTGAACTTTATCATACCACCATCAACTATAAGCGGTGGAGCATCTGGAACATCTTGAACCTATAATTTTTCATTTTCATTTAATTTTCATAATTTTTCAAACACTGTAAACGAATTTTGTACGTTCGTTCGCGGAAACACCACGTGAATTTAGTTTTGTTTTCACAAACAGACGTAGTTACAATGCAAACATTCACACATTTCTAAGAGGTTAGGAGAATATAGCATAGAAAGCAAATGTAACCTATCAAATATCACCTCCCATTATTCACTTACCTCCTGTTTTTCTTTCATCAGATCAAAAATATTTTCCATGTCAATAAAAGACTGCTGAATAAATCTACAAAAATAAAAAATCACAGTGAGTTAATTAAGACACCCGATTTCGAAAAAAAAGGATTACAACAAATAACGACGTATGTGAATTTGGACGAATTATACTTATATGTTTTGTGAAAACCAGCCTTAAGTGAAGAGCAAAGGCATTCTTAGATCTATACATTATTCTACATTATGCATGTATACCTGTAATAAGTTCCAAAATAGTTAAGTGGCTGATACAATTGAACGATATACGTTATGAATAACACAAAATCGCCGACCTAAAATTAGAATGTAATTTCGTGTCACGAAAACTATATAATTTTATGTAGCTATGACCGGAGAATATGTCAAAGTTAGGACGAGGACTTGCATCGACTTGTAATTGCATCGATTTAAAAAAAAATTACATGAAATCTTTTTATTGAGTTATATTATAAAATAAATACAAACATTTTTTCCTGTGTTATATTATATAGCTTCAATCGATTATGATTTTTGGCACATCACTTGATGTAGGTAAATTCTAGAGGTTTAAAGGGTCTTAATTTCGAGTGAAAAAATAACTTGAATTATAGAAACATAGTGGGACTTTGGGAGAACTCGAAATAGCGTGATAAAATTCCCACGCATGTCTATATAACTGTATAGAAACACGGAAAATGCTTTCTTTAATATTGAACACCATCGTAGTTTCCCATGTGATCTTAAAAAGCGAATTAGGAGGGGACAATTCAACAGTCTTTACCTTAAGTGTTCCATTAATGACTAAATGGCCACAATAAATTGTCCCAGCTAACAGACCAATTGTCACGATGAAATTTTGCACCACGTTAATAAGATTAAGGCTGGCCATCGATTGCCACTCGCTATCCTAAAATATAACAGGTTTCAGAGGGATTCAGTTTCAGTCTTCTAGGTGTGTACATGCATGCATGTGCATGGTCTGTTTTATTATTTTCTTTTTGTATAAAGCGAAGGAGGGTAAAAACAGTTGAAGCATGATGTATTCACTACATGCTTCGTCACAAATCTAAAAAAATGTTGTCATGTTTCAATGGTAAAATTATAATCAGTATCTATTTTGGGGATGATATACCGAACGAAAAACATACTTGGTAATCTTCAATTGCTTCATTATATCGTCCAACTTCATAATCCTCAGCATTATAATATTTTACCTAAAAGATGAGAAAGCACTGCAGTAGAATTTAGAAAGAAATGCAGACATGTATAAGGGGAAAGGAAAGTACTACCATACATAATTTCCAAATGTTAATACATAATTTCCAAATGTTGGTATATTAAATTTTCGACCCCGACACTCTTTTCAAACTCTACCAATATCAAGTCGAATAATGCTAGTAGAAACAGTGGCGTAGCCAGCCTGACGATTTAGTCATGCTATGCAAATTGTATGTTATTATCATTATTCATTTCTTTAGAAATTCATTGTTTTCACAGTCAATGAACACGAAAATATTAGCATAGCATGACTAAATTGTCGGGCTGGCTACGCCACTGAGTAGAAATATATGCAGGAAACAATCTGCGTGTCCAACCCAGTAGCCGCGCATAAAATGCATATATTCCCATACTGTATAAATTTATACTATTACGTTTACCAGTCTAAAGTATTTCGTAATGATTAATTAAATTATGCCGGCGCAATGGTCGCATTTTATATGTAGCAAATGAAAATCAGTACCGTTTCAAAATTCAACAATGAATCAACTGCTTTTGCTTTTGTTTTGTTGTCCTTGGCATTCATTTCACGTCTGTATTTGGTACGCCATTCAGTGATAACAATTGTCATTACTAAAAGGTAATGGGAATTAAATCAAATCATTAGACCCCAAATCAACAAAAAACTATGTTTAACTTTATGTAAACTTTAGGCCTGCCATATGGTCCTCACTTGCCCTAAGAATCTGGGATTCTCTTTGTCTGAGGTCACTAGTGCGCAAACGGAAAATGATACAATAGACCGTCGATTCTTAGAACCTAGCGAGGATAACAATGCAGGGCCTGTATTATTATTGTAGTGAATTCTACTTTTAATTGCTCATGCGAAGGAATGAAAAATCTGGTGTTCTGGGAATAAATTCAACAAGGAGAAGCAATGTTATAAAATTTACAAAAATAAATCAAGGCTACTCCCAAATGACTGACTGACTGACTCGTTTGAATCTTTGCCACGCATCACAATACTGCAAAGTTTCAAAGAAACCTTGCACTAAAACATACCTATGTAGAGACCCATGGTTATAAAAACAATTAGTCCAAAATATCCATTGAATGCGAGAATGAAATAAATTATGGCAATGATGATGTCAATGATAACAGGAAAGATATTGAAGAGCAAATAACTATAAAATAAACAATATAATTTACATATAAAAAACTATATTGATCTTTTATCCACGAGTGCTGGCTATTATTGTAAGATAATCTTACAAAGATTACATACAGACGATCAGTTAAAGTAAATGTAATCTTGGACCAGTTTTTCGAAAGCCAGTTAAAGCAAATATTTACATCTATTTTTTTAATTGCTTGTTTATAAGTTGAATGTCTTTTTCCATAAATATTTTCTGGACCAACAAAATCCATATTTTGTAAAGTTTCAAAACGAACAGCGGTTAACTGGTTAATTAAGCAATTAACCAAAACAGCTGATTAAAATTTAACCTTAGGATCAGCGCTAACCCAGCTTTGAACAACTGGCCCCTGCATATTTTTGGTCATCCATTGCATGACGTGAAAACATGGTTCAGTTCAAACATTTTCCCCGTAAGAGGAAGCGACGATCGAATTACGAATTCGCTGTGCAGTGTCAAAATCTATGTAGTTTTACCTTAACAAAATATTAGTACTGGTATTGCCGCGGTCTATCATTCGCAATACTTCTCCTGTCTTTCTACCCAAATGCCAACGCAACGACAAACTTGAAGAAAAAGCAAACGAAATAATGTAAAGAGAAGACGTAAATGGCATATTCACTGCATGTTGAATAATTAACGTTCGTTAATATTAATATTTTATATATTATTAATCAATATATATTAAGGGGATAATAATAATATTAATACATATATATCAAGGGGATAATCGTTTGATGATATGATATTCGGAGTTTGGATCCAAAACTATACTAAAGTGTTTCTATTTCTTTTTAGGAAAATATTTTATACAAATTTTTCTTATAAATTATAAATTCTCACAAAATTATTCACAACTAACGATAAACAATGTTGTGTTTTTTTTTGTGAGTCCAATAGAGAGTCTATAGTTGTCCATTATTTTAACTCAGGAACAGCTTTTTGTTCGGGGTTTTTCATGCTCGTGTATTTAACATTTTTATTGTGAAGTACAGCTCGATTATTATTTTGTTTTTGTTTTTAAATATAAAGTCTCGGGGCAGAAAAAATTTCCGTGTTTCTCGACCAATCAGCACACGCGTACTTTACATATTATATTATAAATATAAACAAAGTCTTGGTCGACGTAAATGTTGAGTACCATACGTTAGGACACAAAACAAGTTATGTTTAAAGTAGCACATATTAATCTCACCTGTGTAGATGAGCAAACAGTCGCACTTGAACGGCACGACTAGTGTATTGTTGTATTTTGATCCATAGAAACGACCGCATATTACTCAGCATTCCCAGTGCACCTGGAATTTAATAAACAATGAAGGATAAACAAAAAATACAAACTTCGAATGCTATATAACCTGCTATTTGTAAGGTTGTATTAATAACCTATTAAAATGATTAGAACCAGAGGCGAAACTAGAACGATAATTGAGATGGATGGATGAATATTGATATATTCTGTTTTGCCTGACGGAGTTCTTTTGTACGCGTACATATTTTGAAAAGAGGTTCGTCGGAAAGAACAGAATATATGAATACTCATACACCCCCCCCCCCCACACACACACACAAATATCGCCTTAAACTTAAAGCCTCTGATTAGAACGTAGAAGCACAATTACCTGTTCCTCCCCCTTGCAGAAACCGCAGGACAACATAAAGAATAATCAAATGCAATGGATTTGTTTTTCCTTCAAGGCCATCTTTGCCGGGGGTTAGGTAATTGACTATATATAATATAAAGAGAACAAGTGAGAAACGTCAAAATACATGGTATGGCTAACAATACACTGACCCAATGTACACAGGTTTAGACTTTTAAACGTTTAGACCAAAATAACCACCAGAAGGTATTGGGGACAATTACTAAAGCTGACAAAAATATTTCATACGTTTTAATTATTTCAATTGGCTTTTCTAAAACATTTAACATGCATAGAATTTTGTACACGGTATGCAGAAAATAAATTCAAGCACGTCTTAAAAATGAATATGCGTCTTCTTCACAACAGGGAAAATTCAACTTATTCAAGTTCTTTTTTAGCAGATAGGCTGCGAGTTCCGTTGCAGCAAGCAGCTTGACGTACTTTATTTGAACCTGTAACATCAGGGATGCCACAGGGGTCGATTCTCAGCCCAATGTTGTTTGTACTGTATATATACATTCAAGGTATATAGCTACTGAGACAAAGCATGCATGAGTACCATAGAAATAATAGACATGATGTCTATTATTAATAGAAATAATGTCAATTATTTTTTTTCTTGCGGTCCGAATTCATATTTTAGCGATTCCTGCAAACATCAGGGATGCCACAGGGGTCGATTCTCGGCCCAATGTTGTTTGTACTGTATATATACATTCAAGGTATATAGCTACTGAGACAAAGCATGCATGAGTACCATAGAAATAATAGACTTGATGTCTATTATTAATAGAAATAATGTCTATTATTTTTTTTCTTGTGGTCCGAATTCATATTTTAGCGATTCCTGCAATCTGATTGGCTACGCGAGCGGTCCGTATGAGGCCGTACGGACCGCGCAAGGTTTTAAAGCACAGAGCTAACGCTAAAATATTAATTCGGACCGCAAAAAAATAAATCAATTATTTACCAGTTTAGTCGGTCCGTATACGGAAATATTTCCCTCGGTCTCAAAAACATCCCTCGGCCTTCGGTTCGGTCTTCGGTTCGGTCTCAAAAACGTCCCTGGGAAATATTTCCCTATACGGACCTCTTATTTGGTAAATAACATATATTTATTTCTATGCTAAGTACTTATCTAGATAATCTTACCTATATCACGATACACCAAAGGAATAAACAAATTAACTGCACGACCTCCCGCGAGAAGAAGAAAACAAACAACAACACGTAGTTGCAACGTTCTAGAGTAAAGAGAATATATAAAATGGTACAGTAAGTTATACGTGTGGATTTGTTCATTGCTTTGACTGTAATTATTAATGAAAGCATTGGGCAGTCAGAATTATATATTTTACAAATAGTTAAGCAGCTGTTCACATAACACAGTTAATTAAGCAATGCATAGGTACTGCAATGCAATGCAATGTACTGTGCAGTTCGTGGAACTATATTAGGTGTACAGCTAAAAATTTAATATTTATTATTCGATTTAACTGATCTCAACCAAGACGAATTCTGGACATGTATATGGTGAAATAATTTGCATGAAACAGCATACCGACGGTTTGGCCAGAGAAAAGGCCATAAAATCTTCAGCTTTCTCATGACTCCCTTAAACGTTGATACTTGTCTACCGTCAGCTGCCTGAAAAAACAACAAAATCGTTTTCTCGCTGTTGCGCAATATATATACAATTGCCAAGGATCGAGGGTCTTAATTTCAAGATTTGGAAATCATACTACATATCAATCCCAAGGCTACAGGAATGGAACCTACACCTTTGCGACGCCGGTGCAATGTTTTTGTTACTGCTCGCTCTTAATTGCTGATCCAAAAATTACTGTTAATATTCCCAAAAGTTGCTCCCAGTTGCAGGCCGTAGCTAGACGGATTTTAAACTTAAAATGGGATCCGATTCGAAAGGATCCACGCCCTGTATAGATATTATAAGATAAATAAAGAGCAGGGTGAGTGATGACTGACCCTTGTGGTACTCCTGGTATCCCAACATTATCAATTTAGCTACTAGATATATTTTAGAAATTAGATGGGAAATTCTTTATTTTATGCAATCTATACAATGAAGAAAAAGAAGAAAAAATTAGGTCACCACGTACCGATGGCGTACCGAGGGTGACGTCATCCTCGACCGAGACCTCATAGCTTGATTTGTACAAACCAGGAGCTTTCATTCCGAGAAATAGTATCAAAGCTGAAAACGAATACCTCAGCCAAAATAGAACAAATTCGGCTTCCTCGACCGATGTTTTTCGATGGAACCACCATTCATTGTTGTTCCATGAGATTAAGACAAGGTTATTTTTAACGAACGTTAGACCCCAAAATAAGATTAAAGGCGTTGAGTACTTTGATAACTTGGCTATATAACGATCCTGCGTTTCAATCATTGTGTCGAAGTAAGCAAAAAACCACACAAGGAACATTAGCAAATCGCCGACCAAGGTTACCCCTTGTATACGAGAAGACTCCATTGAGGCTGAAAAAGAAAAAAAATAGGCTACTAATGCCGAGAAAGTCGATAGACTGGTCAAAGTCTGTTTCGTAGTTTTATGAATTACATAACAGAACGTGTGTATATGTTTTTATTATTTGTTAGTATACGTTACTATATGATACTGTGATTACTTGATAAATACTTGGTTACTTTTTACAGCAAAATATGTCAGTCGTTGCCAAAGGTTGTCAAAATATACATTAATGCCTAATTTTTTTTAGTTAAGATACTTACTGTAAGGTCTGTTCACACGATCTAATTCATGCACTTCTGCATGACTTATGGATTGCGACTGGTTGTTAAAATAGCAGTACTACATTGACTTTAGTTGATTTGTTAAAACGTCTATCAGATGTGAATTCGATCGAACAAAATTAACCTTTCTCACGATGACGAATATGCCGCCATTTTTGGGGTACTTTTTTCAAAAACCGTGAGCGTAAGACTTGGTAACGGCGACTGTCTTTAATTTTAGGCTGAATTTATTCTTCAAATGGTCTGTTTATTCTAAAAAAATGCTTTTGATGTTTAAACATAATTTTTAAACCCATTTCAAAAAAGTAAAAGTACCCCAAAACGTCATCGTGAGAAAGGCTAATTGGAACGTGTGATCGTCTTAATTTTAATGTTTTATGGTTTAACTACTTAATCAAAACCTATACCAGACCTTACCTTTCACGACAATATCCAGCAGGGGTAGAATAATTTGGCATATGTGGAAAAACAATTGGCAGGTATACAAAAAGGAAGTGCGATAGTTCTCTCCATAGATGAAGCTAGCCGGATTGTCCAAAAATGAAGAAAACAGGCGTTTCCTTGTTTAACAAAAGATCATTGGCTGTTGCGCCGATTGATTGATCAAACTCATCTTGGATGGAGGCATAGCGTTGTTTTGCCATTCTTCTCTTGTACGCAAGCCTCACAAGTTGAGGTATACATGCCAGTATGATCAGAAGTAAAAAGACCAGAGTAGAAACGGTTTCAAAGAGACATCTTGGCAGACCATGGTTGTATGTCGTATCTTCACCAAGTGCTTTACCGTTCTCACAATAAGTGTTTACAGACATCGCCTAGGCCACACTTTACGCTCGCTAAACACGCGGTGACCTAGCATAAAAAACGTTTAAAGAAAATTAGGCTTTCTTTGATCGATCTATATAGAACCATTTAAACACTATTTTCCAAACGTTTTGCGACTTATTCTCAGCGTGTGTTAGCTAAATTTTGTTAGGCGTTGTATTAGTATCGAAAGATGATCACAAAAAGGTTGTACGCTTTCAAAACAGCGTACACGTGATATTCTATAGCATTTAAAGAGGAGCAAGATGTACTATGGCTACGGTCACATCGGACCGATCGGAAGTGCCGAGTTTTTCCAAAGAAAAACGAAAAAAACCCTAGCTCTCTTGTACATAAGATGTGTGAACAAAGACCGTAAGCTTGTAGAAGACTTCTCATAATTGAGAAGATTTCCAATTTGGTTAATTACTATTTAGAGTTGCTAAAGGATTGTCATTAAAGGCATATTAGTATAGTCACATGTATACGTTAATTGCCATGGAGTTTAATGATTGCCGCTTTATAATAGATAGACTGGATTATAAATAGAAATATTTATAGATATATCATAAATAGAGAAGATATTCCTGTACAGTTATAGAAAAACGCATGGGAGTTGGGAGAACGGGAACGAGAAAATTATTCCACGTTATTTCGAGTTCTCCCAAACCCCACAAGTGTTCCTATTTAACAATTAGACAACGTGTCCGAGTTGTCTATGAGCGAATAGTCTAAGAAGGCGAAGCCTGACTCGCCTTCGTTGTCTATGAGCGAATAGTCAACTCACTTACTCAGGCTTCGCCTTCGTTGACTATTCGCTCATAGACAACTCGTACTCGTTGTCTAATTGCTAAATAGTAACACGCTTCTTGACCAATCAGCACGCGTGTACTATAAATGTTATATTATAAATTATGCTATGTTATCAATATTTAGCTTCTTTCCTATACAGAATGCTCGTGAATTTTACGCTGGTAAAACTTGAGTTGTGGTAAAAACCTGTGACAGCTAAAAACCCACGACCCAACTAAGGACCCTATGGCACTTAAATTACCCCCCTATTAATTAGTTTGTCAACATCTACTCCCATAGTAGCAAATAAGAGTAATAAAATAGGTTGTAAGAATTACTGTAGCAGGTAAATAATAAACTTGTTTGGATAGAATATATATATATATATATATATATATATATATATATATATATATATATACAGTCATTATCATTATCGTCACCTGTAAATATATATAAATACGTAAATTTATATCGATCACGTGTTGTACTGCATATGTTAAATTTATGGAAATGGTTGGACATCAGTCTTGAAAATTTCTTAAATGCCATAGTTAGGCGAACAATATTGATATTAATAATAAACAGGAAAAAAGTGAACGAAATAACACATGTTTAATGGTCACATAGTTGATATTTATATATTGGTATATATATATTGACATGGACAAGTATATACATATATATATATATATATATATATATATATATATATATATATATATAAATATATATATATAATATTATAATATTATATATATATATATATATATATATAATATACACATTGTATACAGCTTTAAGAGATGATAGCTGATATGCAGTCCTGCCAAATTCACCAAACTGTAAACTGTAAACTTTATGAACTGTCGATGATATCAGTTGTAGTTGTGTACTGTCCAGCATATATTCAGAACAGACTTGCTACAACATTGTTATTTTTTTTAAATGACCTACATGTATAACTGATTTTTAATCATAATTGGGTCATATTGTAGAGGGTTTTTATCATTAGACTTACTGCAACCTTCTGGTAAGGTTAGGAATGCAGTTATCACGGAAACAGTTGACTTCGGGAGTATGTGGGTTACAGAAATTCAACACAGTATAATTTAGCACCAAAATAGAAACAACAATTAAACATGACTGAAATTGTTTCTCATTAAGCATGTAATGTGTTAGATTATGCTTTAATTGTAAACTAATAATTATCCTACAAAAGACATATTGTATATAAGAACAATTAATGGTAAAATATTTTTGGGACTTATGCAATGGGAACTCCACATTGCCAGCCATTAATACATCAACATTATACCCAGTACCAAAATGCAATTTCCTTTTACCTACTTTCTAATATTTAAGTGGAACTGTATTACTTCAGATCTACACATCAAAAACTGTATTCGAAGTAGGTTTTCAATGTATGCATATGATACATGCATTGAATGTCAATGACCCCATATAAATGACCGTGCATTTCAACACCTGATACTATTTAATAAATAGTGGCTTAGTTTTGATCTTATATCAGTTAAAATCGTTTGATTTTGTGCCCGTTTGAACAAACATTGGAAGGCCGACGAATGAATGAAAAAGTTAAATATTCAAGTCCAGAGATTACGTTGCCTACTATCATTAAGTGTACGGAAGCTACAATTACAGCCAATGCTATGTTATTAAATGATGATCCAAGAGTGCTTGACGAGAATTTCTTACTGTTTCATGTGTTAAATTCTACATACAAATACACCTTTAACACTGTTTACAATATCAAGATCAACGTCACGTATGCTTACTTTATTCCATCGTTTAATATTTCCACATAAACCTGGAAATTCCAGCCTTTTCAAAGCGTCACAGACGGTGAGATGTCACTGTTATACAATATCCTCATTCATCACTGACACTGAGCTTAGCTAACGGGAGCACAGGGAAGCTGGATGAATGCTGAAACTTGCTGACTCATCAGTGAGTGACTTCTATAATATATCTGGAGTACCTAAGCTTCGATGATGGTGCACAAACTTGAAGAACGTAATGAAGCTTTCGGGCCATAGTACACGCTCAAAATTAATTACTATTGTCTAGGACTTTATGATATTTATGCGAGCTTTGATTAATATATATAGTCAGACCCAGCAAATCGCTAGGCTGGCTACGCTACTGGTTTGTGGTTGTATAGTGAACTGTTTAATGGATGGCGAGTACGAAACTCAGACAGCTCAGTAGCAATTAAGGTGTTTAACACGCTGCCTCTTTTGCTCGTTGGAGATTTTTTTTTAAAATTTAATGCTGTTCCAGAGAACATTCAACTAAAGTACTTAGGTACTTTAGCAGCACTTAGGTACTTTAGCACATTTTTCTAATCTTGCGTTCATCTTAATTTAGGATTCTTCTTTAAAGAGTTTTTTTCTGAGACACCCTGTATAATTATAGCAGACGGGGAAATGGCACAATCAATTAACATGAAAAACTGACAGAAAATGAATTTTCTTTCGGGGCATTTTGTTTTTATTTTCTCTCGCATATGCCTGGCAAACTGTTTAAAGAATTAAGGGATAGAAAATGCAAAGTATGCATAAGTCTGCGAAGTTCTTTGTTCAATAACTCTCTTTGTTCCATTGCTTTCCCAAACGCTAAACGATGTGGGCAGAAGTGCGATTTTTCATCACAATGAACTTTCACTTCGCTGCCAGCTCATCTCTGTCTCAATCATCATTGATTCTCATCGATATTTCGAATCGCATCCGTCGGTATTGACGAACGAGTCCTTCAGAGCCTCGTGAGCATAAGGTCTATCATTAATCTTATGTTTAATCAACCATGACACAAACTTTCGAGCTTTGCGATTACGAAGTTTCCCCAAGTTGACTGAGTTCCCTTCCGAAATATTTTTCATTCGTTCCAACGAAGAACCAAAAGGGTGTTCACCCTTAGTTAAGATGGAGAAAGCAATCATACCGGCAACTTGGATATCCGATTTCCTTTTGAAAGAACCCTCTTCGTTTCTATCCAATGCTAGAATAACTTCTGCGGGCATCCATCCCGAAGTACCTTTAGGAGCCGTTTTGACTGTCGATTCGTCTTCTTTTAGTACCCGGCTTATGCCAAAATCCGCCAATTTCATGTGTCCAGCGATGTCGACCAGAATGTTTGCTGGTTTTAGATCTCTATGTAAGATTTTTATACCATGAAGATACTCAAGCCCGGAGAGAATTTCCTTAATCATTCGTGGTCCGTGTTGTTGCAGATGTTCAACACTGCGAAAATTAATAACCTCCCTCAAACTCTCCTCACAGAGATCAGCAATAAGATACATAAAGGTTTCGTCGCGGTAAAAGTGCCGATAGCCCAATATATATGGACAGTCCCTAGCGCTAATGAGGCTCACGATCTTCTTTTCGTTTTCAGCTGTTTTATCTTCACTTTGGACCAACACTCTCTTAACAGCAACTTCGCTTCCATCCTGCATAAGGCCAACATAGACGCACGAACCACTAGAACCTTCACCAACTTTCAATTCATTATTTGCGACGAAAGCGTGCAATGGTATTCCACTCTGTGGAAAGAAAATGGTTAACATAATGTTAGAAAAAGACAAACTAGTTTTTCAACAGGACAAGAAAATTTTAGGGTAAAGAAGAATACAACAGAATGATAACAGTAACTTTATAGATCAAATCGGGAAAGGTGCATAAATTCAAATTTGGTTCTCAAGCCCAAAATTGAACCTGCGCTTCGCCAAGCTTGTGTGAATTATAAATTTAAGACATTCATTTACGGATATAAAACTGCCCCAGAGTCACAAAGACTGGCTTTCACGGTAGATGTAGGGCAGTGGCAGGTCCAGGGTAAGTAGGAATAAATAATTTACTAACTCGCAATCATATTGGTAGATTTTTATGTAAAAATATTCTTTAGAATTGAATAACCAATAGCGTTGTTATTAAGGCATTTTTAATTGAAAATTAGGCCGTGTAATTTATTCTGACTTACCCAGAATCCGCAAATGATGTAGCATTAAAGTAGTATAGCATCTCAAAAGAGTTTTGCAACGCTTTACCTTATCTAACTGGTTGGAGTTTATCGCTTTTAACGTCTGAATTTTGTCACGATGCTTTACAGACATTTTGAGGATAGTTGTGATGTCATGATGACCTTGGTGAATGCTCCATTCCAGAAGACTCATCTGTTTTCCTTCAACAAGAATTGTTCCAAAACTTGTAACATCGAAGTTCTGTCGCAATAAAAGATTGAGCAAGACAGCGGAATTTTGAACGACAGCCATCTTTACGATGTCGATGGGGCGACAGTGAACGCCAAATATACTTTCAGGAAAAATGTCAGCACCTTTTTCCACTAAATACTTGACAATGCCAAGATCACATCGAGCAACAGCAAAGTCTAAAACTGTCTGTCCCTCAGTGTTCTCAACATTTGCATCAGCTTCTTGTCCAACTAAATACTCGATGATGTCTAATATATAAGTAACTGCATCTGCATCAGCATAAAGGATGGTCCGCCCAATAGCACTCTTTTCAATTACATTCATATTCGCGCCACTTTTTACCAAATATTTCACAATATCAAGTTGGTTTTCAGCAGGGTGTAGAATAGTCCGCCTGGCAGTATTCCTGCCATTTACCTCCGAGCCTTTTGCAACCAAGTATTTGACAATGCCTAATACATCATAAGTCATGGCAAATTGAAGAACTGTGTCCAAATAAGAGTCCTCGCTCTGTTCATCAGAATGTTTCTGAACTAAATATTTGACAAACTCAAGTACACCTTTAGCAACAACAAAGTACAGAACTGCCTCCCAGTGAATATCTTTGCCATTCACACCAGCGTCTTGTTCATTTAAATATTTGACAATATCAACTACACTTTTGGCAACAGCATTGTGAAGAACTGTCCTCCCACCAATATCCTTGCCATTCACCTCAGCTCCATGTTCAATTAAATATTCAACAATGTCGTTACTTCCAACCACAGCTGTGTGGAGAATTGTTTCTCCATCAGTATCCTTGCTATTTACATTTTCGCCATGTCCAACAAAGTATTTAACAAGTTCGAGGTCCTTATTAGCAACAGCTAAGTGCAGGATAGTCCGACCAGCATTCTTGCCTTTTATGTTTGCTCTATGTTCAACTAAATATTTGACAATGTCAGGTCGACAGTTAATGACAGCATAATGCATAATTGGGTTAAAATTAGGAAAATTCCTCGGTACATCCGCACCCTTGTGAACTAAATATTCAATGATGTCAAGAGCACCAATAACAACAGCAGTGTGTAGAACAGTTCTTCCAAGAGTATCCTCACAGTTTATATCCGCACCATGTTCAACTAAATATCTAACAGTTTCTAGAACACGACTGACAACTGCAGTTTGCAGAACTGTCATCTCATTATCATTCTTGGCGTTTACATTCGCACCCTGTTCAACAAGAGTTTTAACAATGTCAAGATTGCTTTCAAGAACAGCTGTTTGCAGTACTGTGTCCCCGTGATTGTTCTTGCTTTTCACATTAGCACCCCGTTCAACTAAAAATTGTATAAAGTCAGGATCACCTTCAGAAACAGCGCTATGCAGGACTGTCATTCCATCTTTATTCTTGTTATTCACATCAGCACCTTGTTCAACTAAATATTTTACTATGTCCCATGCACCTTTATAAATGGCGTTGTGGAGAATCGTCATTCCATCTGTGTTCTTGCTATTTACGTCAGCGTTGTGTTCAACTAAATATTTCACGATACCAAGTTCCCTTTTATTAACAGCAGTTTGCAGGACTGTCCACATGTCAGTATCCTTTTCGTTTACGTTAGCTCCATGTTCAATTAGGAATTTGATAATTTCAAGTTCACCTTGAGCAACAGCAAAGTGTAGAGCTGTGCTCCCATAAGCATTCTTTCCATTTACATCAGCACCCTGTTCAACTAAGTACCTGATAACATGCAATGCACACGTATCTACGGCAGCGTGAAGGACTGTCTGCCCGATGGTATTTTCTGTTTCATTTACATTCGAGCCATGCTCAACTAAATATCTCACAATGTCAAGGTCAGCTTGAGCAACAGCGAAATGTAGAACTGTCTGTCCGACAGTATTCTTGCCATTCACATCAGTACCCATTTTAACTAAGTATTTGACAATATCTAGTACGTTATGAGTTATACCAAAATGCAGAACAAATTTCCCAGCAATATTCTTGCCATTTAAATCTGTGCTGTCACTGCTGCGCCCAACTAGATATTTGACAATATCAAATATACCTATTGAGACGGCGAAGTGTAGAACGGTGTTTAAATCGGTATCTTTACTCTTCACATTGGAACCTTGTTCAACCAAATATTTTACAATGTCCAGCGCACCTTTAGCAACAGCAAAGTGCAAGACTGCCTTCCCATGAATATCTTTGCCATTTACATCAGCACCATGTTCGACTAAATACTTTACTGTATCAAGAACACCTTTAGCAACAGCAACGTGCAGAACTGTTCTTCCATCAGTATTCTTGTCGTTTACCTCTGCACCACTTTGAACTAAGTATTTGACAATGTCAATGTTAATGTTACTGTTAACAACAGCAGAATGTAGAACTGTGTCTCCATTAGTATCCTTGGCGTTTACATTTGCCCCATGTTCAACCAAATATTCAACAATGCCAGATGTACCATTGGCAACGGCAAAGTGCAGTATTGTCCTTCCAACAGCGTTTTTGCTGTTTACATTTCCTCCACGTTCAACTAAATATTTGACAATGTGAAGTTCACCCTTAGCAACAGCATAGTGCAAAATTGTGTCGAAATTCAAAGATTTGCCTTGTACATCGGCATTCTGTTCAACTAAAAAAATTACAACATCAAAGACGCCGATAACGACAGCAGTGTGCAAGACAGTTCTTCCATAAATATCCTCACCTTTTACATCAGCACCGTGTTCTACAAGATATTGAACAGTGTCCAATGCACCTTTAACTACTGCAGCCTGAAGAACTGTCATCCCATCATTTTTCTTAGCATTTATATCAGCGCCCTGTTCGACTAAACTTTTGACAATGTCAAGATTACTATTAACAACGGCTGTGTGCAGAACTGTGTCTCCATAACTATCCCTGCCTTTCACATCAGCACTTTGACGAACTAAATATTCGACAACGTCTGGTTCACCCACAGCAACAGCACTGTGCAGAACTGTTCTTCCGTCATTATTCTTTCCATTCACATCCGCACCTTGTTCAACTAGATATTTTATAACATCAAGTGCACCTTTATAAACAGCAGTGTGCAGAACTGTCCACGTGTCATTGTCCTTTCCATTTACATCGGCGCCTCGTTCAGCTAAATATGTCACAATGTCAATTTCACCTTTAGCCACAGCAATGTGCATAGCTGTCGTTCCGTCGGTATTTTTGCAATTTACATTGGCACCCTGTTCAACTAAGTACTTGACTATGTCCAATACATGCGCATTTACAGCTGCGTGAAGGACGGTCTGCCCAAGTTCGTTTGGCTATCTACATTTGCCCGTGTTCAACTAAATATTTGACAACTTCAAATTGACCTTGAGCAACGGCAAAGTGAAGAACCGTTTGTCCGGAGGTATTCTTGCTGTTTACATTGGCGCCATTTTCAACCAAGTATTTGATAATGTTCAGCACATCGTAAGTAATAGCAAAGTTTAGAATATTGTGCGCAGCAAAATTCTTTCCTTTTAAATTTGCCTCATGTTTAACTAAATATTTGACAATGTTATATACTCCTATAGCGGCAGCAAAGTGCAGAACTGTATCTAAATTATCATCCTTGCTCCTCACTTCGGCACCTTGTTCAACTAAATATTTGACAATGCCAAGTACACCTTTAGCAACAGCAAATTGCAGAACTGCTTTTCCGTGAGCATCTTTACTGTTTACGTCAGCACCCCGTTCAACTAAATATTCAACAACATTGAGTGCTCCTTTTGTAGTAGCAATATGCAGGACACTCCTACCGTCGGTATTCTTGATATTTACATCTGCACCATGTTCAACCAAAAATTTTACAATGTCAAGACTACTTTTTAGGACAGCAGTGTGAAGAATTGTGTCCCCGTCCGTGTCTTTGCCATTTACATCAGCACCCTGTTCAACTAAATATTTGACAACGTTGGGAACGCCTTTACTAACAGCAAAGTGCAGTATTGTCCGATCAGCAGAATTCTTGCTGTTTACATTTCCTCCATGTTCAACCAGGTATTTGACAATGTCAAGTTCACCTCTAGCAACCGCATAGTGAAGTGCTGTTTCCAAACTACTAGAATTGCTCAGAATATCAGCACCCTGCTCAACTAAATACTTGACAATGTGAGGTGAACCAATAATTACAGCGGAGTGCAACACTGTTTTCCCGTGAACATTCGTTACATTTACGTCAGCACCACGTTCGACCAAGTATTTCACAGTGTCTAGTACACCACTAACGACAGCATTATGCAGAATTGTGCACTTGTCAGCATCTTTTCCAATCGTGTCAGAAACTTTTCCATTCACGTCAGCACCGTGTTCATCTAAGTACCTTATGAAGTTTACCTTTAAATCGTTAGCGCCAACAACGTGCAGAGCTAAACAGATATTTAAAAAATTGTATAGATTGAAATGAGTTATAGATTTTTGCTCCTATGATATGTTATATCATTATGTTTTAATGAAGCAAAATATCAAAATTTGGTAGTTTTAACAAGGGTATTTTCTCACCATTGTCTTTAATATTCGAAACTATGTTTCCTTGGTCCTTTTCAGCGCTTTCCTTTTTTTCTTTATCATGATTCAGCTGTTTAACCTCGAGCTCAGCAAAACTCTCCGTTTCTTCTGATGTTTCCAAACAATGCTTTTTCACCTTGGTCAATGCCATGTCCTCTGGCTTTTCGCAGATACTAAGGCATCTTCAGCCACAGAGAATCAATAAAATCTTTGATGAGTATCTTCGAATTTTGAGTAGAGAGTCTGAAATAAAGTGTGAAAGAATGTTTACTTGAGGTGATGGAAACTGGAATCGTGCAAGGAAATGGATGATTACTCTTAAAAAAAGCCGGAAAGAGCATGCATCCGAAAATTAGAAGTTTTGTTGCTGTGTGTTAAGTAATACTAATTCAAGAACGTAGCACGGGGAGCCCGTTTGAGATATTTTTGAAGTAAATATTTCGCAACCAAACTTTCTCATTTTACTAATTTTGAAATGCTCTTACACCTGCACCGCTAAGTATTGCCAGTTTCGAATTTAGGTTAAAAGAAGAATAGTACATTGGGCAATTCTTCTGGATTTTTTTTTTATTTGAGACATTTGAGGATTATGCGCGTATCTTAAAGAAGTTTTCTTATATTTGACATGCAGGCACCTAATATGACAAACAGGACATGCTATTATGCGTACTAATTACCAGTTGTTCATGATGTTAATGAGTACCCCATTACCTTGAGACTACTTCACTTTGGTATCACGTTACTATTACTATATATTTAATTTGCCCTTTGATTATTATTGCTGCGGAGCGAGCGAGCCTGAAGCGAGCGAGCGTAGCAGCAGTCTAATTTGTGCAGAGAGGGGGTTCTGAACTAAATTCTATTTAGCGCAAGGAATTGTGGTCGTGCGCGTTTTTATGCGTAGAACACAAATTTTAAACTCGCTCATATCCACGTGCTTTTTGATTTCGATGGACAGGATCTTCAAATTTTTGTTAAATTTTAAAGCTTCTGTTCTATTTTGACTATTCAAGGTAAGATATTTTCATCTTTCGTTCATATGTTACGTTTACAGTTGTTTACATTTTTAACTTGTATATTTATGAAACGCGAAAAGCATGCATACAATCGATCACAGCTAGATTCATGCTGTTTATATACGAACTATATAAATTCTTCTAGAATATTAAGATGTACTATCCAATTTGCTAATTCGCTTTCTTTTAAGCAGTTGAGCTGTCAGTGCTATGAAGCAAATCAAGTTTTACATACAGATGCCTTACTAAAAGTTATTTTATCCATTGACATTTGTATTCTTTTGCTGATTTCCATATGTTGCATCAAAATGATCAAATGATGTTTCAAGTATGCGGCTTGACGCTTGCGAGTCGTGTTTAATAACATGACACAGTCGCAGATAAAATATGCAATTGATCGTCTAAATTACCTGACTGAATCACTCAGATTCGTGCAATGTTTGACTTATTTTATATTAGGTAACTGTAAGCATAGGCATATGTTTTTATTCCTATTTTACAATGAGCTAAATATTTTTGTTATTTAGTGCTTTTACCGGATCTTCACGTGGTTTCTGATTACACGTCTTCTCGAGCGCGTTCAAAGTTCAAAGTATTAAGTGATGTTTTGTTACTCTTCACATGAAGCCAAATATTTACATGGACTCTTACAACAAAGACAAATAGCATATTTCAAAAACAAATACAATGTTACCAAAAAATGTTTTTTGCTACTGCTCAGGGCCTGTATTTTCGCTAGGCGGAATTTTGCGCCTAAACAATATTTTCTGCGCAGAAACTGAATAATACAATACTTTCGATCAACTTTGTTGCGGGAAAAATGTCGCTACGCGCGCAAAATTCTACCTAATATTACTATTATTGTTAATACTCCTGTTGTGATTCGTATGTTAAAATAGTTTTAAAACTAGCTGCTATTCTAAAGACTTTGACTTCAACGAGCTGTAACTCAAGACAGCGTTCTCTCCTTTACCCTTCGACAGCGGGAAAAACACTCTCGGACCCTAAAATGCTCGCAGCAATCCCTACCTTGCAGGTACCCTAGTATTATGTTTATAAAGATTTATGCACAGCAGAATGATGAAATATAAATCGTATTTCACTGTGTCAATTAATTTCATGCAATTTGACTGGACGTACGATCGATGTTTATATATCACGTGTGAAAAATGCCATACATGGCTTTTGATTGGACATACGATATTCTACACACATTCTCAAATCTTTCGGAAAGAATATCTAATTTACTATTGAACAAAATTACAAAGAAACTAAACGGTAATAACTATAATTTTATTTTGATGCATAAAATTTCGATTTTTGTTGCTCGCTGTGTTTTTGTGAATTAAAAGCGTCTCGTTGTCAAAGTGATCTCTATAAACTTAAATTTAATTTCATGGTTGGCTCGTTTGTGCGATTTTTATTATGAATTTGTTATGAAGGATCGAAAACTCACTCATTCGCTACGCTCACTCGTTCGTTTTGCGATCCTTCACAACTCGTGCATAAAAATCGTACGTACTCGCCAACCATGAAGTAATCTCTATATATTTATTAATACAGCGCCATCAAACCCGAGATAGCGACAAAGAGATATAGATTTTGATAATCAACTATCGTCACGCATTGCCAAGAACGAATTACGAAGGCTCTATGATAATAGAAATAATACCCAGGTTTCCTTGCAGCTATTAGCAAAAATATTGTCCTTTCTACTCCCTTGATCATATTTCATATATATTTCATTATTGCAAATCAAAATGGCGTCTAATAAAGGTCTAAGACAGCTTTTTCCATTTCAAGTTCTTATAAAAAGCTTCATCAGAAATCTAAGCAGAATCGACATAAAAAACCACGGAAATAAAAACGTCAAACGGATCTACGTGTCTATGAAGCAACATCGTCCGCACAAGAAATAGCTCTCGAATTGCATGAACCTTAATTATGACAATCTTTCCTTGCTTTGGGAACCTATTTCGAGGAATTTTTAATTTGTGTTGTTTATGAAGCAAAATTGGCGAATATTAACCTTAATTTGGGTTTATCGATGCGAACAGTTGCGTAGCCAGCATCGATAATTGTGTTAACAGGCTGTTTACAGCCGATCGATTTCAAAAGGAATTTGTGAAGCACAACATGAATTTTAAAAGGATATTGATATAATACATGAATATGGCCCCCTAATTATCGATGCTGGCTTCGCCACTGGATGCAAAGCATAATATGTGCATGGTTATCAACTATTTTGTCATTTTTCTTTCGACGTAGGCTTGTAGGTTGTGGAGAATGTAGACGCTTTAATGCGAAGAATTAATGTGAACAAAAATGAAATCGCCCAGGAAGTTTGGCGCAAGCTTTAATTAGGATAGTTTATAAATGAAAATATTTTTTTTAAGTCACTATAATTATATGGTGCATTGAACATCCACCGGCTTGAAGTGTACACAATTATTGATTGAACATAGTCAATTAGATTAGCAAAGGTATACTTTGTGTGCTACCGACGTTTGCGTGCTATTACCGACCGACGTCGCGTTTAATGGGCCCTTTCAGCTTGTACGCAAATTAACCCATTTTGAGTCACATGGTCTGAAATGGTTAAATTTTATTGGCTATCCCATGGTCAGAACATCTAAAAAAGGGTTAATTTGGATGCAAGCTGAAAAGGTTTATTAACGACCCCTTTGCAAAACTGGGGATGTGCCCCCAAAATACAATTTTTACGGAATTTCTCACTCCTCGATACTCTCTCCAGTTCTTTTGAAGGCGTGTTTTTCTCGCGTAGCTCCTTCCATAATTGGCAAATTTTATTCAAATCGGCTTTGTGATATGTTGACATTTAGAGAACGCAGTTGCTTATACAGAGACGCCATGTTGTATTTCAGCTAACGGTTTGCTTTCTGATTATACAAGAGCCTTTGTTTACACGGTGGAGTATCGCGAACTCGGGGAACAAGGTTGCGTGTGACCTAATCGAAAGTTAATTGCACTGATCATGGGTTACATTAGGTTAACGGAGAAGAAAATCCTAGATTTGTCAATTTTTTTAACAATGGATCGAAGTAACTCAACTCAATTCATTGCATCATTCGATTTAAATCATTCAGACTGTCAATAAATTTGTTAAGACACACGGTCATTTCCGAGAATGATTTGGATAATTCCTGTTATCGTTTTTACATGACCTTTCCTAAACTTAGGTACGCTACTACTTTTGAATTTTGCTGTGGAATTGTTCTGGGATTTCAGCGCAATTCTCCTCTTTTCGTGGATGCAAATAAGCGAATAGATATGAATGCTATGCGAATGTCGTCACCAATTACCTTTGTTTATTGATTATAACCATTTGCTAGCTTAAACCACATTTTTAGTTTACAATTATCTTTCTTTATGGCACTATATAATGAGACTGATAGAAAGACCTTTGTATACTACACCGTCGTAAATGCATTTCATTTGGGTTCCATAATATTTAGTAAGCAATTTAATTTATACAAATAAGTAAATCGTGTTATGCCTGGTAGTATGACTATGATCTAACTGAGGTAACGCTGAGGTAACTGCAGAAAGAAAGAGGTTTAAAATGTATAAGCGTTTTATGAATAAATAATTTGTGAAATCCCCTACTATATTAATTTTTATGTTCATTTAAATACATATTTCGCCATTTCGCCGTGATACCTTTTAATACATCATTCTATATTTCTTTCATTTTGATATTAAGGCTTTCCTAATTGCAATACTTTCGCACTTTGTAAATATGTTACTGAAGCAATGTCAATTAGTAATAATTAAACCAGCTACGTGGAATCTCTGAGCACTTCACAAGAAATAATATAGCCATGTATATTATATCTGTTATATTATTCTAAAGCCTGAACTCGGTTTCTACGACTCCCGGGAAAGTAGTCTCGTGTTGTATTTTTATAATCTATATGCATGTATAGAATTATTGAAAACAGACGGACAAATAATCAGATTGAGTATAACAGAACAATATGAGCATTTGAAATGTGTCGTCACATGATTTTCCCTATCTTTCCCGTGTCGATGCAATTATTCGAATGTACACATATGGATGGACAAAGCAGACTAAAGTAAATACAATGCCATAATCATTTCATTTCCTACCTTACAAGATTATACCGTGCAACAATCCCAATGTCGACAATAAAGCTTTAAATAATCTGCCCATACATTTTGTGATTCCCGTTAGCAACTAAGGTTTACATCCACAGACGTAATTATTGTGTTAACCAGTCATATTTTAGCATGCTTCATTGGTTTAGCAAGAACAGGAAATTGTAGGCGAAGGTATATCATCCCGATGTTCCGGTCGCTTTCACCTTCTCAAGCCTGATTCTCATATATGTCCCTGACGGTCGGCGACGTACAGTTTGTGGTCGTTGACGAAGAAAATTTATTCAAAATAAGAAAACGCTTTATTCTCCAGTGATCACCGACAATAGTCATCGCCGACCGTCGGTGACATATAAGAACCATATATAGAACCAGACTTTAGGACCTGTTTATACAAGGAGCGAGTTAACCCGGCTAGGCGAGTTGAAAACTGCATCATTTGTAATGAAAGACGCTTTTTACCTCATCTAGCCGGGATAACTCGCTCCATGTAAACAGGCCCTTAAATCGGTTGTTTTTAGCATTTTTCGATTGAGAAAATTGAGAATTACCAGAAACTTTCTAGCTCCCTCTCCCGATATGGATATATTCCATTTCTGCTCTTAAGACGGTCAGGGCCGTAGCTAGACCGCTTTATGTCTGACCGCTTAAGTGCTCTCACAATTTAAATATGCCTACTTTAATTTTTATTGTGCGGGAGGTTGAACCTGAGACATTTGAAACCTGAGACAGGATTATTAAAATTGCTATCTGCAGCTCATATAGGACTCGAGTTATTATAGCTAACAAAAGAAATCAGTAGGACATAAGACGAATATAATTTATGAATACGAGCCCTCCCAATTAAGCTTCTAAAACATGTTGTTGCATGCTTGTTCTCAAACATAAACCCAATGTTTTCAACGTTTTTCACCTCGTTTTACATAAATAGCATTTTTAAGTTAAACGAATGTGTATATGCAACCCGTTTGTGTACATGCAGACATGACTTCCACTTGAACTTTGAAATGAGTACTTAATATTCAGAACCTTTTTCATATTTATACCTATATACTGAAGTCTGAAGCTTATATTAGCGTGTAATACACGACCGTCGACGACGACATCAGTTTAAAACTTTTCTTGAAACGGCATTAGAAGAAGAGACTGAAAAACTAAGAAGAATGTTAGAATGAAGCTCTCTCGATGTAGCTATATGAAGAACCGAAAGTCTAGCTATCCCTGTCAACGTAGCTAACGCTAAATCGAATCTGAAGTCGATCGCCTTCATTTCGGGTTGCTTATAGCCTTATACATCTTTTTTATTGCACATATAGACGTCAAACTAGGAATTTCGCTTAGCAATTTTAGTAATGAGAGGAATTTTAAAACAGTTTCAAAATTATTTGGAAGCCAAGAAGACTTTTTTCCTACTTTAAATACGTTTATTGACGAAACCCGTTCTACCCCTTATGTGAATATCCTTAAAAGTTCTGAAAGGTTTATAACCCTTTTTTAATGTTTTTTAAAATGCTAATCTCTATAACAGGCAAATGACACCCGCCGCTATAAACTAAAAACTTAATTTTTGCTAAGTTATAATGTAACTTAACCTCAAATTAAAAATTTTATTTCTAGCTGCTCCTCAATTTGGTGTAATTATCAATATGATACCCTTAAATTAAGCTACCATGTATGTCATAGCAATGATGTCGCTGAATTTGCATGCTTGCAGTGATCTGTTATTTCGATGTTCAACGAAAAATAAGTAGTGATGAAGATAAATTACCACAACATGATTTTATTAAATATCTGATCTCTATTTCATGCATGCACGTTTGCATCGATCCGACTATAGTTCGAATGATTATCTCCTTTGTAACTTTGTCGACCTTCCATGCAGAACGGCATGCATGACACACTATAGTTTAAATTGGCACAGTCAAGAATTATGTGCAATTTCTGAGAAACTCATCCTCCGTTTTTATATTCCCTTTCAAACAAACATACTAAGCAATAACATCATAAAGCAGACTGGCCTTTTCTCACGCGGTGCTCGATCTTAAAGGCCGAAAACCTTAATCCAAGTCTTCCTTAGATAAGGTGGTCATAACATTAATTAACTTTCATCGGCATACATACAAGCCGTTTGTTATAATTGTTGAAAAAATTATGAAACATATTTTCGATCAGCCTTCTTTAATGAGCCGGTATGGTAATTAGAACTTAATATACTATGTGGACTTTTCGTTTTTAATAAAGAAATACACATATTACGTGTCAACATGTCTACACTCGCCATTATTTATTATCATCTCTGTGGAGAAAAAATTCTGTATTAACGCAATTGTAACGAATCCTTGCAATTTTCTTCCGAGGGAATGCCTGCACGTATGATATTTAGCAAGCGGTAAAAATTGCTTTAAAAATTTGCCATGTTCAGTTTAATTTAAAATACCGCTCGTCATCATTAAGAGACCTGTATCGATAATAATCAGTTTTAATTTTCATTAAATTTCCCATTGCCCGGGAGACTATAAATACGCCGAGTGGCTAAAGAGGGGAATAGCTATATATACGAAATCTCCGAACGTTTAACCTACGAAGTCTGAAAAGTCTCGATGGAGCCAAAATCCGATAATGATTACTTGGAACATTGTGTCTGGCAAAACGTCGAGTCTATATATGTTGACCGCTTTCCTTCTTGGAAGCATTACATGGCCTATGTGTTTTGTTTTGTCATCAATATCATCCAGACATGTCTGATTGTTTTTCTCAACTACTTGGCCGTTCATGCTTTGTGCAAGTCGGAACAACTGAGGCGCAAAACTACGCTATTCCTTGTCATGATTTTATCCGCTAGCGACTTGATGGTTGGAATTGTCGCAGATCCGATTTTGCTGCTTCATATAGGAAGGGAGATCTATGGTGTAGAGGATTGTTTTGTCAACACGTTGAAAGTAGAGGTGATGGACATCATCCCCGCGATATCTTTCTCGACGTTTGTTATTTTGAATGTCGAAATATACTTGTCCATCATCCATCCGATTTACCACAAAACCAAAATTACAAACAGACGTTTGCTAAAAATTGTAGGCATCGCAGTTTTCATTTCATTTGGGCGATCGTACATTTCTGTTTTCCACGTCGGGAAACGCGCTGCACAGTTGCTTTTGACCATCATTATATCTGCAGTGTTGTTATTACTAGCCTATATTCATATAAGAATATCAATGGTTGTCTATAAGAGACGTCGAATTGGCTTCGTTAGTACTGCTCTACCCTCCATTGGACGTCAAAGCAAGTCCTTCTTACACGGCGTAAGAGAAGCGAAGTCTTGCCTGATTGTTTTGTTTTGCACTGTACTTTGCTACTTGCCTTCCACTATACGAGACGGGATGTTGACTGACACTAAATCCATAATTTTATTCCATCCCTGGAGAGCTACAGCTGTCCTTTCTGCCTCATTTCTTAACTGTATCGTGTTTTTCTGGAGAAATGGAATACTAAGAAAGGAAGCGAAGAACATCGTTCAAAAAATTACTTGCAATGCTTAAATATTCGATGGTTGTTCATGCATGCAATTGTTCTTTTTCCCGGGCGTTGATCGAAGTGTATAATTTATAAGCATATACAGCTAGAGTTTAAGCTATATGGATTAATTGTCTTAAAAAACAAAAGTGGTATAAGCTGTGAGTTGTAAAAAAAGGAAATTGGGGCCCTTGAATTTACATACATCATTGCTTGGTATATTTACATTTTCAAACACCTAAGTTACATATATTTAGAGACCGAGAAACATTTTATTAAAAACATTAAGTATCTAAAATTAGAAACGCACAAAAAAATTGACAATTAAAATATTAGTAATTTAGCTTGTAGGTACACCACGTAAGTATTTAACACCGCAAAGCTTTCGGTCCGTTAACCCGGGCCTTCAACAGCGGTGTAATAAAAGTGAAAAATGAAAGTGATGAAGGTCCGGGTTAACGGACCGAAAGCTTTGCAGTATGTGGTGTACCTATACAAGCTGAATTACTTATAGACTGTCACTCAAAGTCTATAGTCTGTCACCTACTGTCACCATGCAAACATTAAAGAATATAATTAAAATATAGACTATGTGTTCGGATAGAATTCTGTCGTATGATAGTTGTTGTTGAACATGACCGCCTGGAGTTTTCAATTTTGAAAAATGTTCATCTGGAATCAGTTTAAGAACTATATCAGAAGCAGATATATAACTTCAATGACGGTCATTCGCGCCGTGCAAAAATTAAATTTTTGATTTGCTGATAATGTAATCAAATTTATTTAGATTATACAAAACGCCAAACATATTATGAAAACGTTCATTAATAATTCTTGCGGAAAATCAAACCAAACGTGTATTATGTCATGCAGAATTGTCATGCAGAGTGACCAGATATCTGATAAGAACATAATATGAAACTGCAGTTATTAATCAATTGTATTTGCTGACCTAGTCTGCAATTCAAAAAACTGTACGTATTGGTGTTTTTGTGCATTTGCATGATAAACTTAGCCTCTGTGCATGGCAGTCGCCAAGGCGTCGCTATAGAAGCTTAATTGGGTGCATATTCATATAATCGTCTTTTACCCGACTGATTTCTTTTGTCAGCTATTGTTTCTACGGTTCTACGAATATGAATATATAGGGATACGCACCCCCCAATTAAGCTTCTAGCGACAGCCCTGCTTCTGGGAATCTTATTAGTACATATTCTTCAGGTATTGACATGTTGATATAAGCTGGCTGAAACTTGCTTCAGCTGTTTCTTGTATATAGTGTAGGTGTATGTATATAGCATGTTATCTGTCGAACCAAATTAAGACCAGCCGGGAGCAGAGGTCAAGTTGTATTTTTTGCGAAGTATAAATAAATAATTAGTATATCGGAAATTTGAATCTTTCTAATTCATCTCATTCTGTATTTTTTTAAGTTTATTTTTATTTCTTGAATCATTCAAAATATGTCTTTCACTGATTCACTCCCCAACCTACTTCATGCGCATACGAACCTAGTACATGTCGTTTCTGGTTCATCATTACATCTGGCGATAATTTCCATT